TGCAAAAACAAGTTTTTGACGTATTAGGTGACCCAATTTTAATGGGTATGTAATTAATCATTCCAATTAATATATTTAGAAATTGATATTTTCATACTCTATTTTGATATTGCCATATCTATAATATTAAAAATCAATATAAATTATTAGAGTTTTCTTAGGGTTTGAGATAGTAGAGGAGTGACAATATCAAAAAAAGGGTGGAAATATCAATTCCCTGTATTTAAGTTTAATATTTAACTCATTTTTGCATACGAAAAAAATAGCACATGTTGACAAGATAAAATTTGATGTTTCAAACTTAAAGCCATTTATTTATCTATTGAGCACATATATTAAAGAGTTGGGAGAAATAAAAATAAAAGAATGTAAGATTTTTGCATTGATTATGGGCAAAGATAAAAGTGCATTTTCTTTACATGTGAATTATGTAGATGATGAAACCTCTGAAATTATTGTTCATTTAATTCAGCATAAAACTAAAAAAAAACGGTTAACTCCTAAGTTATGTTGGATTATTGTCGGTCTACCTGCGCACATTAATTTTGATCCAATCAACTATCTGATTATACTTAGAAGCAAGAAATATTCTAAATTTGAAAAGAATAATTATTGTATTGTAAAAATTAATGAGCTTTCAAGCTTATCGAAATCTTGTATATTATGTACTTGTGTGTTAGAACCAGATATAATAACTGATAGTTCAGGCTCAATAGACGATAACTCTTCTATCATCTCAGCACCAAATAACACTTCTACCATGTCAGAATTAAACTCAACAATTAATAACTCTGTATCTTATAATACTGTTATGACAAAAGTTATTAAAGATATTTCATCTATTATTATTGGTACTCATATAACACTTTCTAAACACTCAGCATGCTTATTCGGCTATGATAGAAATAAAGAATTGGATAAAAATATTTTACAAAGACTATCATTACATGTTTGGTAAGAAAAAAATATTTTTATCATTTGAATAATTGTGCATAATTTAACATCTTTAAACGTTTGCTAATTAATTTTACGAGCAGTGTAACAGATGAAATTGTCTCTCCTGAAACATGTAACTTTCAAACTGGTTTAGGTATCCCTCTTGAAGTATGTAGCTCTGGTCAAATGGAAGTTATATGGCATAAGAGTAAAACTCGTAAAGGACTATCTTATGGGAAAAATACTTTGTTTGCAAATAATCAAGTCTCAGAAAATCTGATCTTTGTCAATCAACTTTTTGATTGTTTCGAAAATGGTTCTGAAAATTGCCAATATCATGGATCTGCCAACGTTAAACCTGGTGAGATTATTTATGGATCATTTAATTCTAAACTATTGAATAATGTCAAGGGAAAGTTTTCTTATTTAATAATTCCTTAAACTCTAACCTAGTTTATGGAATATATTGAATATATTATATAACATTTAGCATTTAAAAGTTACACCAATATTTTATAATATTGTATAAGATATAGGTAAAAGGTCTATGTTACTATTTGATAATTAAAAATTTTTCTTACTATAGTTATATTTATAAAAGAATTTGTTGAAACACTCTGAATACTATTTCTGAGTCTACTTTATTGATATCGCTTCATAAATATTTTATTTTCGACAAGTTAGGCGACCCTAATTCAATTCAGTGGTTTATATTATATTTTTATTATGAAAGAGGGGGATTCAGAGGGTTTATATAGTAAAATTTCAAAATTTTTTTTTAAAAAATTTTTTTGAAAATGTTTTATTACTATATAAAAAATTGTTTAAACATTATTTATTTAAAAATA